GTATTCAATGCTATAATTTTCACTCTAAGCACTGTTGTTACTGAATTCCCACTTTGATGTTTTATTTTCATTTAGTTCAAAATATTTTCAAATTTATCTTGAAATTTCTTCTTTGACCTATGCCATATAATTATAATTATGGCTTTAAATTTTTAATGTCAATATGTTTATTCAAAAAGAAGCAAAATATAGCTGCATTTGGGAAAAATGTTTTCTTAAAAAATTTGTTGAGTATCTACCATATGCAGATTTGTATTAGATACTAATAAGTCTTTGAAAGTGTAAAGGAAAGTGTTGGCCACTCAGTCATGTCCAACTCTGTGTGAGCAGATGGACTGTAGCCCACTAAGCTTGTCTGTCCATGGGATTCTCCAGGCAAGAATACTGAAGTGGGTGGCCATTCCCTTCTCCAGGAGATCTTCCCAACTCAGGGATTGAACCTGGTCTCCTGAATTGCAGGCAGATTCTTTACCATCTGAGCCACATTAATGGCAAGATCACTAACGGCAGAAAATTAAGAGGAACTAAAGAGCCTCTTAGTAAGAGTGAAAAAGGAGAGCAAGAAAGCTGGCTTGAAACTCAACATCAAAAAAACTAAGATCATGGCATGCAGTTCCATTACTTCATGACAAATTGAAGGGGAAAAAGTGAAAGCAGTGACAGATTTTATTTTCTCAGCTTCCAAAATCACTGCAGACAGTGACTGCAGCCATGAAAGATAAAAACACCTGCTCCTTTAAAGAAAAGCAATGACAAAGGTAAAGTGCGTTTTAAAAAGCAGAGACATCAGTTTGCTGACAAAGATCTGTATAACCAAACTTGTGGTTTTTCCAGTTATGTATGGATGTGAGAATTGAACCATAAAGGTGGCTGAGCACCGAAGATTTGATGGTTTTGAATTGTGGTGCTGGAGAAGACTCTTGAGAGTACCTTGGAGTGCAAGGAGAACAAACCAGGCAATCCTAAAGAAAATTAACCCTGAATATTCGTTGGAAGGACTGTTGCTGAAGCTCTAATATTTTGGTCACCTGATGTGAAGAGCTGGCTCTTTGGAAAACATCCTGATGTTGGGAAAGATTGAAGGCAAAAGAAAAAGGGGCCAGCACAGGATGCAGTGGTTAGGCAGCATCACTGACTCAATGGACATGAATCTGAACAAACTCCTAGAACTGGTGGAGACAGAGGAGCCTGGCATGCTATAGTCTGTGGGATCCCAAAGAGTCAGACACGACTCAAGAACTGAGTAACAACAATGGGCAAAATTTTAAACTTGAACAGAAACATTAAATCATCAAATTTAAATTTGTTACAATTAAGATATGAAAGTTTAATAGTGGTGAACACAGGTCTGCAGAATTAGCAATTTAGTGCATTCTCCCTCTAACATGATGCTGACTCCATGGCCTCATGAAATATCAGCAGCTTCCAGGTCATCCTCAGACTACACTCTGTGAAGCAGAAATTATCTGTCGGGTTGTTCTTAGCTCTGGGTTTTGGGTAGCAGTAAGGGTATATTTTCTCCAGAGAAGACCAGGCCAGAGAGGGAGGGTTAATATGTGAGGCTTTGGTTCCAAATGGAAGGACTATTTAAATCTCCTCTTTAAACAGGAGGTGATACAATATGCTGGGTGTGAGGATGCTGAATGAGGTTGGAGTGCTGAGTAGAGGGGAGACTGGGACCGCTGATGGATAGTTCAGTGGGGGCATGGTGTGCAAAGAAGAAATGAACTGAAGGATGACATCCAGCAGACTGAGGACAGGGCTGTCCAAGTCTTTCTTTGGGACCAGTGACCTGGGAAGGAGAGACCAATAGAATCCAGTGTATTGAGTCCTCAGCTTCACACTTTAGATGTGGGTAAATCAGACTTCATAGCCAATGATGTTACAATATCTGAGCCTGACAATAAGAAAAAAAAAATACCCTAAAGCAGATGTTTTATTTCACTCTTAGGAAGAGGGGGCGAGGCCTTCCCTTGTAGCTCACTTGGTATAGAATCTGCCAGCAGTGCAGGAGACCTGGGTTCAATCCCTGGGTCAGGAAGATCCCCTGGATAAGGAAATGGCCACCCACTTCAGTATCCTTGCCTGGAAATCCCATAGACAGAGGAGCCTGGTGAACTACAGTCCATGGAGTCTCAAGAGTCAGGCATGACTGAGTGATTAACACTTTCAAGAGAGGGAGAGGTTCTTACATGGCTATAGAGATGATGATGAAAGGAGATTAAGTGCAATGAAGGGCATGACTGAAACTTTAAAAGGGAATTTATAATTAATCTATACTGGTGGAGGAACTGTAAGCCTCTGGAATTCAGAGAATAGATTTACATTTCTTTGTATTCACCCCAGCACCTAGCAATGCTTAGATATACAGTGAGTACTCAGAAAGCAGGAGGAAGGGAGGAAGATGGAGGACATTGTTCTAGGGAAGGAATGTTCTGAGCAGGATAAGAGAAGCAAGCATGCATGCCCTAAGAGTCTGTCCCACAGCCCGCAGGCCAGAATTCACAGACACTTTCCCATGGCTAAGAGGAACCTAGCAGTGACAATAGGAAGATCAAGTAGAGCCGTACTTTGAGAGTGAAGCAAGAACCTCCAAACCTGGGCTCCTGAGACCTGCGCTGTTGGCTGTATTCATCTTTCCTCTATTCTGACTCTTACCTGGACTTGAATGCTGCCACATGATCCTGGATCTTCTCATTCCTGGAATCTGGGCTACGGAGGTTGGGGTGTATGCAATAACCAATATTTTTTAATAATTAACCACCATTGATTTCTCAGACAAGGGTCATTCCCTTCTTCCCTTATTGAAGCCAGGCACTTGGCACCTGTGTGCAGAAGTGAAAAATCTTTCAAAGATTATTGATAGCTTTGCAACCCCCTCCACCTCCCATTCTATATACGTAAACCCTGAAAGGTCTGAGCTTTGTGACAGGAGCTCCAACTCACTGGTGGGAAACTTAAGACCACTTTGTGAGGGGGCTGTGTTGCATATGCCCACACTGTTGCTGGCCTTTGGCTTTGCTCAGACAAAGAGGAGAGGTAGTAGAGTGGGCTGGAGGACGTTCAGGAAAGAGAGGGAAGCAATTGCTCATAAAAGGTTTTCATCCATTCTTTTCCTACCAGACATTTTATTGGGTAAATATTTTCCTGCTTCTGTCTTTTTTTTGATAGCTAAGAAGGGAATGTTGTCCCCTAAAGAATCTATCACTTGCTTCATGAGCTTGGCTCTATAGCTGGGGGAACCTCTGGCAGAAACATATTCTTTGGTGTTGAGGCTTCACTGACTCCTCCCTTGACTTCAGGAGCCTTCTCTCTAGCTTTTCCAGCAAAGACAGTGAATTCATTCTTATGAAGTCTCGTATTGGAGAATACAACTTGTGCCTAGTGTTACAATATTGCCTGTGAAGTCATCAAAACCTTAGCCATTCCAGTGCTCATCAGTGCTAGTGCTGGGAGTCCCCCGGCCCATTGATGGGCTCTGGTCCATGGGAAGGCTTTGGTGAGGAAGGGTCTCTGACAGGGACACTTTGTGGTGTGCTTACCCCAACACCATCTTGGGACAGGAGCAGGATTCCTATCTGTTCTGTAAGGGTCAATCTTTGTGGAAGTGATTAGAGATTTGATTGTCTGGGATTCTGCTTTGTGTGTATATGAGATAAATTTTCAGTGCTGATATTCTAGGGTAGTAGAAAACAGTTTATCTTTGAATTATGGTTGAAATGTTTTGGTTCACCAAACCCCTTCCACAAACTGGGAAATAAATATGACTGACATTTGAATGGCATTGTTGCTAGAACACCATCCTTAGATTTCTAATACTTCTTTTGAGTTGCTTATGTTTCAAGTTGCCCATTAAACTCAGTTAATTTCTTAAATGCTCTGTTGAGCTTGTGAAATGTATTTTTCTAAACAGAAATCTTTCATGTATAATTATTAGGCTCTTCATGAATCAGTTCTTTATCACCCTGAGCAAAGGAAAATTAAGGAGGAAACCAAAACATATTTTGAACATCCAGAATGATGTCACAAAATAAATCTGTGCTTTACAATGTATTTTCATTATTTTCATCTGGTATTAGTTTGCTAAGAGTTTTATCATGATTGGATGCTGAATTTCATAAATGGCTTTTTCTGCATGCATTGAGATGATGACACAGTTTTTATTTCTGTAATTGCAGTGAAATGAATTGATTGTTAAAGTGTCAAGCCAATTTTGTATTCCTGGAATATATCCAACATGATTTTGATGTATTACCAGTTTTGAATATTACTGTTGTGATTGCCAGATTCTAGTTTAAGGTCATTTTCTCATAAAACAAGTTGGGGAGGGTGATGTCAGCAAGATGGTCAAATAAGACACCCTTCATTTATATCTCCCATTCAGCAACAATAATTTGGCATCCAGCCTCAGACGAAAGTGCCTTTGTGGGAGCTTGGGGATCCAGTTAGGAGACTGTGAAACCCTAGTGCAGTCCAAGACAGGCTATCTTACTGAGGTGGCTGATTCTCTGACCATGGTCCCAAATGCAGACTTGGAAACAGCTCTGTCCCCCTGAAGATGGAGCTGCAGCCCGTTTGGCTTTGGTTCTGTCACAAGCACCATCTGCCGGGGGACCTCAGAGGAGTCGTGACCACCTATACATCAAATGATATGCAAACAGTCTTGGCTCTGGACCTGGAAATGGACTATTTACCTACTCTTGCCCCTTTGGGTGTGATCTGGGAGCCCCTGGATGTAACATTGAGATGGCAACGAAGGTCATTTCCAACTTTAGTCCCCCTTATGAGAAGACCAACTAGAAACTGTCCATAGACAAGACACCACTATAAAAATCCCAGAGCCTGGGAGTGAGGCTGAAGTGATCTTCTGGACCACAGAGATGGAGAAGGACTGTACTGGAAGGGGAAGAATAGAGGTTTCACTTCGAGGGCATTGCTTCTCCCCGTAATGTCACAGAACCACACCAAGGGATGGCTTCCCAGGACCTACAGTTTCCCCAATGGGAAAAGACAGCAAGATAGACATCTTGCTCCCCTCAGCTTTGGATACACTTCCTGGGAGGCTCACTTGGATCTTGCACTGTGGGGAATCACTGGTGGCATCTGTGGGGCTTGATCACTGGGGATCAGAAAGAGGTGGAGAAAAGGTGCAGTCGGATTTTGGTGGATCACATTCCTGTTTGGATCAGTACCTATGTGGCTCTACCTGCCCACCTGCAGAACCTAGCCAATGGTTTCTATTGGCAGTGAAGTCTTTTCTGTGGCTGTACTCAGGCAGGAAAGCAAATTTACAGCCCATCCCAACTACTGAACATAGCCGCTAGTCCTGTCAGGACAGAGGGCTTGGCCAGAGAATCTAGGTAGCCCCGGAGCCCATCTTACTGCCAAGAGTCAAACCAGCAGCCCTTCTCACCTGTTGAGCATAGCCTCTGATTTCACTCAACTAGGGAGCCTGAACAGTGGCCCTGGGCAGCCTGAGCCCAGCTATGGGCTATATGACTGCTGAACACAGACTGTGGCTTCTTCAAGACGGGGAACCCAGCTGGTGAATCCACCCAATCACGGAGTATAATCTGTGGCTCCGTCCAACCAGTTAGCCCAGAAAGTGACCTACCAAGCATGAGGAGTCTCCAGCCCCACCCAACCTCAGGATACAACTGGATGTCCTGTCCGACCAGAAAGCCTAGCCAGATACTCTGCTCAACAGTGGAACCTTGCCAGTGGCCTGCCTGATTGCAAAGCCCAGACTGAGGCTGTCTGACCCTGAAGCCCTGCCTACAGTCCCTCCAGGGTGTGGAGTTCAACCAGTGACACGGTCTGATTGGAGAGCACAGTCTGAGGGCCTGAGAACCACTTCTACCACATCTATTTCAGAACTGTTCTCTTAAAAGCATGTTGGAAGACTGTGTGTGTGTAAACCATATGTACATATAAACCCAGAGGTTATGAAGGAAGGAGCAATAGGTGGAGCACAGGTGATTTTATTTAGGCCATGAAACTTTTGTGTCATTCTACTGTGGTGGATATATGTTATAAATTTTTCAAAATTTTTTGTACAACTCAAGGAGAGAACCCTAATGTAAACTGTAGCCTGGTTAACAATGAAGTCTCAGTATTGGTTCATGGGTGTGACAAATGTTTGCTGTGGGGTAGGCTGAACGTGCGTGTGTGTGTTGGGGAGGGGAGGGTACGTGGGAACTTCCTGTACTATCTAACTTTGGTGTGCACTTTAAACTGCTCTAAAAGCAAGCCTATTAGTTTAAAAACCAAAAAGCGAAATAGGTAACTACCTTCTCTTTACTGCTCTCAGAAGACGAAAAGAATGGCCAGTGTCCCAGAACACATGGAAAGATATTCAGGATGACTGATAGGGAAATATAGCTCCAAAGAGGGCTGGGATACCGTTTTTATTCCAAATTGCAGAATGTTCTAACTCTTCAGCCTTGTCAAGAATATGGAAAAATAGGAACTCCTTCACATTGGTGGTACAGTTGTGAAAGACTACAGCATCTTTAACAATTATCTAGAACATTATTATAAAATTTAAAAATTACCACTGACTCGGGAATCACTGAAGATAAGGTCTATAAAGTGCTATTGGTACCCATAGATAAAAATATATCTAAAAAGATGATTATGTTATATTCTTAATCATAAATATTTTTAATCATCAGTAGAATGGTTGAATAAATTATAGTCCATCTATATTATGGAATATTATGCAGCTATACAAAACAATGAGTTAGATTTATTTGTATTAATATGAAGTGGTATATATAAAATATTTTAAGGGAAAAGACATATTGATGAACACATGTGGTATAGGACAGATGAAAATAAAGCAAAGGAAGGTATACATTTTTTGTCCATGTGTATAGCAAAAGAGGGTAAAAGAATGCAGAACAAACCATTAACATTTACTGCCTTTGGGGATGGGGAGAAAAGGGGAAGATTGTTTGCGGTTTTCTTTATACAATAGCAGTTGTTTTGTTGCAACAAGTATGTAGTACTGCTTTTGTAGCTTAAAAGGAAAATTCAATAAATTGTAGTAGAAGTAAAACCAACAGAAGAGGAACCCTGGATGACATGGCCTCAGGGTCAAACATCTATGGACAGTCAGATCTTTTATACTTCCAAGAGTGACTGCCTCTTAGTTTAACTCCTGAGCATTACTAGACTAAGAAATTCATTTCTCTTCTGTTTTGAGGGGTGAAACAAAAAAGAAATTAAACTTTCTGCTCTCTGAACATGGTGCACAGTTTCCTTCAGGATGAGATGTCTCTTAGTTAAAGCTCAGTAAGTGGGTGAAGAGAAAAATCTCTCCCTCCACCACCTCTCCACCCTGTTCCTAAATTAATATACACCCAGCCTAAGGGTATAGGAGATACTATGTCATGCCCCTCAAAAGGGAGTAAAGGAATAAACAGTGTTTTCGATTTAAAAATACGTAAGTCCTGTCTAATTTATAGCTCAAGCATAAAATATCGGCCATTAAATAATGCATAACAAATTATCCTAAAAGTTATCAGCTTAAAACAACAATAAACATTATCTCACACAGTTTCCTTGGACAGCAAGGAGATCAAATCAGTCGATCCTAAAGGAAATCAACCCTGAATATTCATTGGAAGGACTGATGCTGAAGCTGAAGCTCCAATACTTTGGTTACCTGATGCAAAGAGCCAACTCACTGTAAAAGACCCTGATGCTGGGAAAGATTGAGGCCAGGAGAAGAGGGCAACAGAGGATGAGATGGTTGGATGGCATCATTGACCCAGTGAACATGAGTTTGACTGGACTCTGGGAGATAGTGAAGGACAGGGAAGCCTGGTGTGCTGCAGCCCATGGGGCCATAAAGAGTCGGACACGACTGAGTGACTGGACAACAAGAACACACAGTTTCACAGGGTCAGGCTCTGGGATTGGCTTTGCTCAGTAGTTCTGGCTCAGATACTCTCAGGAGGTCAAGGTGCTGGCCTGGGCCCATCTAACCTGCTTTCGTGTTGGTTGGTGAGTCAGAGCTGGTGGTTAGAGAAGGCCTCAGTTCCTCCCAGGTGTCCTTCTACATGGGCTGCTTAGTATCCTCAGGACATGGTAGCTGGACACCTCCAGAGCACGTGCTCCAAGAAGAAGAGGAAGGAGAAGTCCAAAATGTCTTTTGTGAGCAAATCTCAGAAGTCACATGCCATTACTTTTACACATTCTATTCTGTTAGAATAAAGTCGCTAAATTTGGGCCACCATTCAGGGGAGGGGAATTAATTCCACCTTGAAGGAAGGAGTATCAGAGAATGTGTATACATCCAGTACTCACAGCTGCCCTATTTTCTAACTTTTAGGAATTTCAAAAAATTTCAAGTCTCCTGAAGGCATTCTTTTTCTCTAAAGCTTTTTGGATTTTTTTCTTAGTAGCTTTTCTTTAATTTTATGAGACTTTGATTATCCAGTGTTCTGTATTCCCTTTTCTTGTACTTATGCAGTTGATACAAAGCCAGAACTCCACATGCTTTTTTATGAAATCTCTGTCCCCATCTTTCCCCCCTAAATCACAAATTCATCAATGTCATCATCCCAAAAGTCTCAGTTCAGTTCAGTTCAGTGGCTCAGTTGTGTCCAACTCTGTGACCCCATGGACTGCAGCACGCCAGGCCTCCTTGTCCATAACCATCTCCCAGAGTTTACTCAAACTCAGGTCCATTGAATCAGTGATGACATCCAAACATCTCATCCTCTGTTGTCCCCTTCTCCTCCCACCTTCAATCTTTCCCAGCATCAGGGTCTTTTCCAGTGAGTCAGTTCTTTGCATCAGGTGACCAAAGTATTGGCAGTTTCAGCTTCAGCACCACTCCTTCCAATGAATATTCAGGACTGATTTCCTTTAGGATGGACTGGTTGGATCTCCGCAGTCCAAAGGACTCACAAGAGTCTTATCCAGCACCACAGTTCAAAAGCATCAATTCTTTGGTGCTCAGCTTTCTTTATAGTTCAACTCTCAAAACCATACATGACTACTGGAAAAACCATAGCTGTGATGAGACAGACCTTTGTTGGCAAAGTAGTTTCTCTGCTTTTTAATATGCTGTCTAGGTTGGTCATAGCTTTTATTCCAAGGATCAAGTGTCTTTTGATTTTTATGGCTGCAATCACCATCTGCAGTGATTTTGGAGCCCCCTAAAATAAAGTCTGCTACTGTTTCCACTGTTTCCCCATCTACTTGCCATGAAGTGATGGCACAGGATGCCATGATCTTAGTTTTCTGAATGCTGAGTTTTAAGCCAACCTTTTCACTCTCCTTTTTGACTTTCATCAAGAGGCTCTTTGTTCTTCTTCACTTTCTGCCATAAGGGTGATGTCATCTGCATATCTGAGGTTATTAATATATCTCCTGGCAATCTTGATTCCAGCTTGTGCTTCTTCCAGCCCAGTGTTTCTCATGATGTACTCTGCTTATAAGTTAAATAAGCAGGGTAACAATTTACAGCCTTGACGTACTCCTTTCCTTTTTGTTCCCTGTCCAGTTCTAACTGTTGCTTCCTGACCTGCATACAGGTTTCTCAAGAGGCAGGTCAGGTGGTCTGATATTCCCATCTCTTGAATAATTTTCCATAGTTTATTGAGATCCACACAGTCAAAGGCTTTAGCATAGTTAATAAAGCAGAAATAGATGTTTTTCTGGAACTCTCTGGCTTTTTTGATGATCCAGCGGATGTTGACAGTTTGATCTCTGGTTCCTCTGCCTTTTCTAAACCCAGTTTGAACATCTGGAAGTTCATGATTCATGTATTGCTAAAGCCTGGCTTGGAGAATTTTGAGCATTACTTTACTAGCATGTGAGATGAGTACAGTTGTGCGGTAGTTTGAGCATTCTTTGGCATTGTCTTTCTTTGGGATTTGAATGAACACTGACCTTTTCCAGTCCTGTGGCCACTGCTGAGTTTTCCAAATTTGCTGTCATATTGAGTGCAGCACTTTCACAGCATCATCTCTTAGGATTTGAAATAGCTCAACTGGAATTCCATCACCTCCACTAGCTTTGTTCATAGTGATGCTTCCTAAGGCTCACTTGACTTCACCTTGCTATTTGGAACTCTGCTTTCAAATGGGTATGTCTTTTCTTTTCTCCTTTGCTTTTCACTTCTCTTCTTTTCAACAGCTATTTGTAAGGCCTCCTCAGACACCCATTTTGCTTTTTTGAATATCTTTTTCTTGGGGATGGTCTTGTTTCCTGTTTCCTGTACAATGTCAAGAGGCTCCATCCATAGTTCATCAGGCACTTTGTCTATCAAATCTAGTCGCTTAAATCTATTTCTCACTTCCACTGTATA